GAGAGAGAGAGAGAGAGAGAGAGAGAGAGAGAGAGAGAGAGAGAGAGAGAGAGAGAGAGAGAGCGCTCCATTCTATGTTATTGGAAAGTCGGTTTTTATTTTTTGAAGCAGAGTTCGGATGGCGAATGGGTCGAGCTCCAACAAGCTGTCAATTTGTATCCAGGCATGCCAATTATCGCATTTACCATCCTGCATCCCAAGCTTCTCATTCATCATCCTGGATGCTAATCTTCTCATGTACCATCTGTCTCTCTGTCTCTCTGTCTCTCTCTCTCTCTCTCTCTCTCTCTCGACAGACACACATGAATTGGCAGAAAATGTAGTCACTGAAAACTCATCGATAAGTTGCGATAACTAGGCCAAACAATGGAGAGTCTGCCATAAAGTCCGGGTAGAGTTTCTCGCTGCAGGCCGTGGTTGACACAAGGGCTCCAGTTGTTTTTCTCTTTCCATACACACCATGAATTTTGAACTCCAACTGCATTCCAATTGCACAACGTGGTGTGCATGGCACGTGCACACACTGCACGTGTGTACACTGTGTGATGCAACTAGGATATAGATATGACATTGTATGTCTCAACTTTCAACTTTTAAGCTTCAACTGCCTTCTTAATATATTCCCGATCCCCTTCTCCATTTCCTCTGTCTGACACATTAGTAGTACGGATTCCGTACGTCTGGGCCGAAGTCCTCCTCCGTGCAAGCACAGATTCGAACCGGCGACTTCGGCCTCAAGAGCCAAGTCTCTTAACCACTACAGCCAGGACAAGGTGTTCAAAAGTGGAATCGTACCGGTCGTGATATCCACCCCACCCCTGCAAGGCTGTAGTGTCCAACTCAACACAGACCACACACAACACCCACGGACACGGCAATTCTCGTAGACTTCGCTCTGTAGTCAGCACGTAATCCCCGCTGGTACTCTTACCCGCTCACACAGACGGGACTTATCAATGCCCGTCGGTTCACGGGCGTGCCAACTTTTTTAAGTTACAACAAATTGAACACATTTACCTTTCAAGTTTTAACCCATTACCTATCAGACCACACCCTCATTACCTATCACCACACACCATTACATTATGCCATTACCTTAGCCTGGCATCTTATCCAGGCATTGCTGCCGTAGGGCCTCACCGCACCACTCACCAAATGCCAACATTTTGAAAGCATCTGGACTAGGCGTTGGTCCCAGTACATTCAAAATCTTGGCGTTTTGCGAGTGGAGCACCAAGCCCCTTATCCTGGCATCTTATCTGTGCATCATTAGATTCATTACCCTATCCGGAAATAGCTACCCGACACTGTCACGGTGTCACCTTACACCGTTACCTGACATTCTTCATCTTCTTGCACAACATGTGACATCAGTAATTAAACTTCATCCATGTGTCACGGTCATTGACCTTTTTTTTTTTTTTTTTTTCCCCCCCCTTTCAGGGTGCGTTTTCTAGAGCTGTCATTGGTCTTGAATGGTGAATTGATTCAGAAGCGTTGTGACTGGCTCAGGCATTTCTCTTTTCCAGGTGCAAGCTTAGATGTGTATAAGAGACAGCTGCAGTTCCAGGATTTGTATGCGTGAGGCTAGGCTTGGAGGCGCAGCATTAGCGCACTGGAGTTTACATATGTGAGGGCCAAGCTCAGTTGGTACAGATATGACATGAACTGTTGAGACACAGACCCAAGTTCGAATCCAGATGCAATCATATGCGCAGAGGGAAACAAAAGTACAAAAAAGAGAGGGACCACTGGAACTTATCCTCTTACCTATTGGTAAACTTTAATAATGTAAGGGACGCTGGACCCGGTTTCCGGCAGGTGCAGCTCCCCACCAATAGATGAAGCCTTTAAAAAAAAAAAAAAGAAAAAAAAAAAAGGGCATTCGGTGGTCATGGCAGTCAACATGAAAGGTGGAGAATTGACTTGGTGTGACAGCCATTGAACCTCAGAACATGCCAGCAAAAACTGAGCATGAACCTGGCAGACATAATATGACCAGATTCATGCTCAGTCTCGCTGGTGCGATAGCCATTCTCTGCAGAATGTACCTGCCAGTCATTGTGACCAGATTCTTGAAGCAGTTCTCGCTAGCCTTGCACACTACTGGGGCTCACCCTTAGAATTGGCAATCATCAAAGGAGTGTCTTTTGGAACCAAAAAAAAAAAAAAAAAAAAGTAGTTAGTTTAAAAATGGTACCTTTACCCGGGGCTCATGAACCTGCCCGGTATTAGGACCACATTCGTGGTCAGAGGGCTCATCCTCAGTGCTGGTTCAAACTTCATACAGTAGAAGATAGTTCCAATCCGGCAAATTTGGGCCTGGCTCCACTGCACAAGATTCAGAAATGTATCTGTACCCGGTAAAGGTCCCTATACACTCAAAATGTTCAACAAGTCGGGACTTCGAAGGTATCTAGGTAATTGGGACAGTACAGATGCATGCCAAATGTTGTGCACTGGAGCCAGGCCCTTTGTTCTTAAATTTCAGTTTCTCTTCTCGCCCGGGATTACTCTCTTTCTTTTTCTTATTTCGTCTCTTATTCATCTCCAGAGGAACATTTGGCATGCATATGTACTGTCCCGTTGCCCAGATACGTTCCAAGTCCCAATTGACAATCACCAGAGCGAGCCACTGGAGTAGAGAGGAGTGTCTTTAGGAAAACAGATTTCGTTTAGAAAACGTAATTTACCCGGACCATCTGGCTGAATGATAAACACACACACAGACACACACACACACACACACACACACACACGCACACACACACACACACATGTAAGTATCAGTAAACAGCTCACGAGTTCGAGTCCTGACGGAATCAGCTATTAGATATTGAAGAAAGAAAGAAAAACAGACAGAAAAAAAGGGGGAAAAACTTCCGAAAAAGCCCTTTACCTTTGCGAAGACGATCCAGTCTCGCCCAATCATGAGGTTGAAACTAAGAACCATTCCGGCAACATAGTCATTGTAGTTATAGCTCCAGTAGCTTGAAAGGGTGGGGGGAAAGAAACGTAAACACTATAGTTAAGGAGATTTTTTTTTTTAGATATACATTTGTCTAAAAGCCTAACGTCTTCCTCCTTTACTTTCCCCTTTTTTTGTTATAATCAACTCAAATTTCAACCAGCACAAGAAATGATTTTCTATGAGGGGAAAGTCAAGGAGGAGAAGCTGCCTGCCCTGCCCCCCCCCCCCYCCCCTTTGTCCTCCTGCGCCCCAAGCACCACCATTGCATAAAAAAAAAATAAAAAATAAAAAAAAACCTAAAAATTTACCAAAAGGTCAGAGATTAAGGTAAACAACCGCCACGATGGCATTAAAAAAAAAAAAAAAGGGAAGAAGATTCTTAGAAGAAGTAAAACGGTGAGAGATTTGGTTAAGAGCTGGGCTACCAACCGGGCCGCCGGGGTCACCTGGGTTGCCCGTGCGGCCAAAGCCGAGCAAGGGTCACATCGATATTCTTTACCAAATTGAATTAAAAATTTTAAAAGAATATATATATATATATATTTTTTTTGCCTGGGTCAAGCAGGTGGTCCTGGGCCACTCCGGTAGCCTTAAATTAAAAGCCAAAACAGAAAAAAAAGTAGCCTTAGATTCAAACTCAAGAGTCAAAACAGAAAGAAAAAAAAAAAGTGAAAATTTAAATTTTACATTTTAAAAGATAAAACTTCATAACAGTTAGAAAACATAAAACATACAGACAAGATCTTGCAAAAGGATACTCCAGCTTTGCGAACATTGTGCCAACAACCGCAGGATGGTTACGATGAAGTTTCCCGCCAAAAAACTGCACTCCACATAATGCAGATAGAGAACGAACAAGTCCAACAAACAAGCTCAGTAAAACTAAAGAGAAACATCTCTTCCTCCTTTTTTTTTTTTCTCTCCGAAAATGAGACAACATCGGCCCTCGGCCGTGCAGAGAGAGGCCCTGCCCGGCCTGAGTGAAGGTGGGCCAGGCAAATGCAAGCCGGCCCTAAGTGAAGTCCGGCCACGGGAAAGCGGCCCTGGGTGATTACCAGTGTGCAGCGTGCAGCGTTTGTAACCAAAAAAAGGCAGGCCCAGCCCACGAGTTGGATACAGAGGCTGGGCCTGCAAAGTCTTCGGGAAAGGCCGAGGGCGCAGAGTACTGGGACAGGGTGCAGCTTGCTCGTGGCCTCTCGAGCCTCACCCTCAAGCACAAAAGAATGATGGCAACCCAGCCAGGACATTCAGGCATTCGGGCAATGCGGCAGCGCTGCTGGAGCGCCTGCTTGGCACTGCGCCCGAGGAAGGGAACTGCTGCGGTGGCAGCGAGCATGAAGAGGGAGGAGCGCCAGCCATAGCCAGGCTGGTCGCTGCCATAGCCGGGTGGGGGAAGTGCAGTGATTCTTGGAAGGGGAGAGAGAAGGGAGGTGGTGACAATGATGCACATACCTCGTGTTGACCAACGCAGCCTGTTCGATCCGAGTCTTCAAGCGGCATTGGGCGATTGACACGTGGAATATTGCTGGCATGAAGATAGACTTGATCTATAGGAGATAGAAAGTCGGATCGACTACTGCTAGCATGAAGATAGGCTAGATGTATAGGAGACAGAAAGTAGGACCGGCGTCTAGGTCGGCTGTAGGAACACTACATTGTTGTTGTATTGATGTTTCAAGGCAGTGGAAGGACTTTTGTAATCAAGAGACTTTGGTGTACTGCTCGTTCCTATTTTGTGTGCATTCCGCTTTCATTTCCGCTTTCATTTCAGCATAATTAGGTGTCAGGTCTTCTGTGAGATGCTGCAATTGTGTTTATGGTTGTTCTCATCGCTTATTTCCTTGCAAATTGGTATCAGAGCTGATTTGTAGGCACTCGCCATTCGCTGCTGGCGAGATAGGTAGCCGCAGTGCCCGCTTGGTTAGTAGAGCAGTGTGATCACCTTCGCGCTGGATCACCGCAGTGCACGAGGTGAGCGTGCACGGCGAGAGGAGGCTATGATTAGGATTTATGTCATGTGCGGTGAGAGTCTGGTGATGCTCGCCGTTGCTTCTGGAGGCACTTGCATTGTATTGTTGGTGGCTCCTTAGCTTCGACCGGTCAACGAACGACACATCATCACAGCTGGTGAGATAATCCGTGGTTAGAGGCAGCATTGACGAGGTATGTTGTCTCTTACCTTATCTACCCTCCTCGGTTAGTCTTCTTACCGTGAGGAGTGTTCCACTTGGGAGTCCTCTTCTCGTGAGGTGCGAGAGAGTGCGCTACCTTGAGGGCCCACATTCTTCTGGTGCATCGAGTGGGAGACGGGCAGTGCCTGTAAAGTGCCCTGGGTGGTGAAGCACGAGGCCATGTCGAAAGACATGCTCATGGGAGTAGTACACACATGCATCCGCAGTTCACACTCAGGTTCACCAGCGCGATATAGACCGCAGTGTGGGGGGGGCTGGGATAAGGAGGAAAGACGGTTCTGACGGTTCCCAGAACCGTCTCTAAAGATAGATAACCTGGCGGGGCATCAGGGAAGTCGGCCTGTTTGCGACTCGACGAATTCCTGATCAGGTTGGCCACCCGCTGTGCAGTTCGTGCACTGGGATGGGCGGGTTCGCTGTGAGAGATCGGGTTGGCCGCCCGCTGTTTGGTTTGTGCACTGGGGTGGGCGGGTTCGCTGTGAGACACACTGCATCTCACGAGTAAGCCGCCGGATAATGTTGCAATTATGATCTGTGGGACATAGAGAAAGGGGGTAGGTTCCCTCTCAACTCGCCGGTACATTTTGTTTCTATTTCTGCATCTTGATATATACTATAGGTACTAGGTAGGTAGCATTTTGTGTTCGCTGTTTGATTAGTTATCAGAACAGACTGCAGGTCGTAATTGACGGTGTACCGCCACATCAGAAGTCTACTTAGTCTGTTTGGTAGTTGCATTCTCAATTTCAGAACCGATTAGACAGCATTTGGCAATTTCCGCAGGTTTGAGCGTGTTTCTCTACCGCCGCTGGGTCAGCTTTCGCAACGTAAACCTGACATTATTATTGATTATTTATTCTTTGCCTGTCCGCTCTCGTACTACGGTAGGGCACGAAACAAGCTGCTTTTTTTTTTCTTTTTTTTTTTTTATGGGTGACAGCCTTGAGATATCATCTTGGAACTGACTACTAGCCCTGGTCTCAAGGCTATCACCCATTCAAAAAAAATAATTAATGGGTAATTCAGAATCATTTTACTCTGTTCAATGTTCATCTTATTGCTGCGACTGGATTTGAGCTCAGGTCTGTATTTCAAGTTTCAACAGTTCGTGGGTGTTTCTGTTCGCATGAGTGGTGAAGAGAGCAAGGGAGAGGAGGGTGACATGCGACTGACAAAGAGAGCGGCTCAAAGCTTTCCACACGTTTTCCAAGCATTAGGGCCTGCAGACAAAGCTAGGTTTAGGAGAGAGACGTTGCCACCAGGAGGCAGGCTGCTCCAGCTGCTGCTGGCCACCGCTGATTTAGCAGAGAGGGCATTAGCAGCAGCAATGGCCACACAGGCTTCCGGTCAGAGTGCAGGGCGAGGTGCGGTTCAGGGAACTGGGCAGTCTGTCATGAGTCACTGCATAGGGTCGCAGCTTAGTCAGGTGGCTGACGTGCAGTCGTCAGGTCAGCCCCTAGCCCTTACTCCGGAGCAGCAGGCATATCCATGCAAGAATAGAAGCTCCATTGCGAGACACGTACTCGTAGTACTGTTGTTATAGGGCTGAAGAAAGCGCTTAATAGGAAAAGCTTGCTGGAGAAAAGATAGACAGGCAGAAAGAGAGGCGTTGGGAGGGTTGGATGAGAGTGGTCTGCAGGCAGCATGTAAATTGCGGAGACGGAATGATCTGCGACTACAGGAGGCAATGCCGCCTTCTGTAGAAAGCAAGTTGGACTCCATGCGATCAGATAGCAACGATGCTGACACAGTTAACATCCGGGCCTATACTTTTGAAGTTTGAACGCTTGGGCCTATACTTAGGGCCCGGCTTTACTATAGTAGGCCCGGCTGTTACTAAGGGACAGGTCAAGTCCATGCGGTCGGCCCCTGCTGGGCAGCATCAATACCAAGGGACCTTGCACTCGAAAAACAAAAACGAAAAAAAAAGAAAGCTTCGGGACATCCGTTAAAATCAGAATGATACACAGAAGATTTGCATGAAAAAAAAAAAAAAGAAAGAAAGCTTCGGAGAATCTGAAGCTTTCCCAACATAAAATAGAAAAATTCATCAGAAGGTTCTACAGGTTCAGATTCTTCAGAACTGTCCAAAATTCTCCAAATGACTCCAAAGCTCCCTTTGGTGCCAATTTGCCAAATCAAATTTGAGCTTCGAAGTTCAAAGTTTCCCGATTTAAAATTTTGACGCCGTCGCACATGGATCCATGCACATAATTTCTGAGAGTTCAAGAGCGCAAAACTGCAAAAGCACGATTGGTGTACATTTTTACTTTTAATAAGCCTATTAAGGAGGGTCGACAACCGGATGTCCCGATCCCGATCCAGACTGCCCGGTCTCCAGTGTCTGGTTTGGAGCGTCCGGTTGGACCCTGATTTGAAGAAATTGAAAATTCCAAAAAAAAACAAATTGGGGTCCCCATGCCATTTTCCCAGGCCTGGGGGACCCCAGAAAATTGTTGGCGTTGTTTTTTTGTGGACCCTCGCCCCAACCGGACCGGCCCTGAAGGCCTGAAGGGCCTGCTGATGGAGAACTTCGGACGGCAGTATCGTGGTGTTCGTTTCCCGCCGGCAGGACGGGGACGTTGGCAGCTATTTTAAGCATGGTAAGGCGAAGCAATAACGACATCCTGGGTAAGTAACAAGTCAGGGGGTGTGTAGGATTCTACCACTTGGTCATTGAAAGAGTTATGTTTCCCGCAGTGTGCACCCTAACGCAATTGTCCCATAGGTTCCATGAACTATCTGCAGAGGTAGTGTGTGTGTGTGTGCGTGTGTGTGTGTGTGTGTGTGT